GAGTGGTTTCAAAAAGTTAAATGGGAGAATTTCTTCGAGAAAATTTCTGATACGCACGTGCTAAATTATATTCACAAAATGCAAAAAAATGAAATAAAAAAGAACAACATACACGATTATTTTTGTATTTGAATAAATATTTTCTTGGATGCAAATTCTGAGAAATAAATCTTTTTGCACCGTTGGTATGCTAAATTTCACAGAAACGAAGAAATTAGGTTGCTATGAACAAATGGAAAGAATTTTAAACCAATTATATAGATTTTTTATGAAAATTGTCCGCAAAAAACGACAAAAATATATTTTAGTTCGCGGACCACAAAAAAGGCTTTGCGGGCCGCCAGTTGGAAACCATTGATCTATAGCACTGAATTTAAAAATTATCAGCGAACAACGTTGCTAAGGTGTGTCATCAACATATTTTAAGCATAATGTTATTTAAAAGAAAGCCTATATTTTAGTTGCTTGATAAGTGATGATATTCGAATCAAAAATCGCTATTATTAAATGTGGCAACAATGCGTTTATACGTTTCAGGAGTTTGTTTGGATTTGAATTATATGATTATTGATAACATATTGTTTATCTTTTAAAGTATTATGCTTGTTAAAAATACTTTTCAACCAAAAACTAAAGCAAGATAATTCCAAATTCTACAATTTCCTAAAATTCCAATAAACTGTTTGAGTTTTTTTTTTATACTGGAATAAAGTTTGAACCGGAATAAAGTTTGCAATCCTAACTGCAAAAAAATTTTTTTTTTGAAAATCAAAAATATCATAATGTCTTATATTTATGCAAAGTTTATATAAATGTAAAATTACGTGCATCCATTGTAATATTCTATTAATTAGTAGTGCAACTATATTCATCAGTTAATAGTTTTACAGCTTAGATACAAAGAGATCATTTCTGCATAGAAAATGTCTATTCAGTCAAAAATTAAAAAAAAATTCTAATACGTATTATTTGTTTAATGCAACTGAAATGACTAATTTCTAAATAAAGAAAAAAAGAACTTTCCTATTTTACTTGAAACGCTCTGATTTTATTTGAGAATTGCTCCAATTTTATTTACGAAAAACTGACTCCGTAAACAGCTTTCTCTTATGTTTTGTTGATGCGTAATTCCCTTTTAAAAGTAAATGAATTAAATTTCCAAAAAATTTTCTAATTGTTTTTTCTGAACACCACGTCTAGTTAATTTAATCATGAAACAAAGATAGCAATAAAAAGCTATGCGTGGTCGTATTATGCTTAATAAAAAAATCGCCAGATAAGAAGTAATATTTAAAAATAGTTAATACAATTTATTCATAGTAATGAGTTCATATAATTATAGTTCATGTTGTGTTGTATCAGTACAATAATTTCGGAATTCCTTATTTATCAATAAGTACCTCAACTATCATTACTAAGGCAGAGAATAAATTTATTTGCACTTAATGATTTATTATTTATCACTATGATTTTGCGAATTATTAATAATCTAGTATTAATCGAAGTGCTATTGCTATCTCATTTACTTTATCTGGGTGTGTGCTCATAGCATTAGTTTCTGCGCTATTTGTTCCACCACAAAGAAAATCTTCCTCTCTTCGAAATTGGATCCAAATCAAAATATTTTAATTCTGAAGAATTAGGAAAAGTAACGATTCAAATTTACAATGAAGACTGAAAACAGTAACTTGTAAGCAAAGAAGACGAAAAACAATAATTTTGAGTTTTAAAGTATAAAAATCTTACATAGAATTAAACTTTAAATATAAAATAAGTAGTTCATACATATATATATATAACATGTAGTTCATACTTAGTTTCCTGAAATTATGTTTTTGCGTTCATAGCGTTAGCAATAAAAAGAAAATAGCTGTAAAGATACTTTTCTCGAATTCTAACGGGAAGCACTTCCGTTATTTTTCAGTTGCACAGAAGAGTGCTTAAGATCTTCACATTCGTCAAAAATTAAAAAAAAATTAGTTTTGAGAAACCTTCTTTCACAGAGCACGATTTTTTCACAAATTTGAAATATATGATTCGATGAATGAGAAATATTTTTTTTTTTTTTTACTTTTGACTGTTTAATAATTAAGAGCGATATCACATTATCGAGCTGATCCGTGTTAAGATTAATCCACTCATCAAGCAATGCTCTCTAAAGTTCCGGCAAAGGAAATTTCTCACGTATCGAATGGCCAGCATTTTCATCTGATTTGAATCCGATAGTGCGTGTGGGGGACATGCTTGATCGACGAGTGGCGCAGAATCAGTTCGATAATTTGTTACAGCATGCCTGGGCATTGTTCGGATTGTAACGAATCAAATTATATTGAAAAAACAGTTTTTTTTTATTTATGAAAACACATTTATTTGACAAAACAACTGCACATCAACTAAGCAAAAAAAAATTGAAATACCAGTATTGGGTTGGTACCTTAAATACAATACAAAAACTATTCTTAACAAAAATTAAATCTCCAAAATTAATCAACAAATTCCAAAAATTTTCAAGTTCCCTTATTTTTCTTGATCTCGTAGTTGATTTCGTTATATGTTTTTTTTTTCAATTCCTGCTTGTGTTAGCTAGATATTTTTTTTAGATACTTTTAAGACTATAGGACAGTATTTCATCGCATAAAACGCCTACAATGTATTAACCCTCATTCTAACCATGTAATATTAAATTTTTGTAAAGGACAAATTTTTTTATAATTGCGCCAGGGGGCAAATATCGTAGTTTTTTTAGTGGTACCATACGTTTTTGAATCCTTATCTTTTATTCAATAAATGGGCTTTATAAATAAGTCATGTTGGTTCTGAACCTTTATTTGCAGGAGTTGGCATTATTCTTAATTTCTGGACATGAGGTGTATATTGGATACACAGTAGAGTTCTCCCTAGGAATAAAAAAGGGCGTGGTGCTTCCTTACAGAAATATGCATTTTGAGTTTTGAGCGGGCACTCACTTAACACCGTAAAAATTTATCAAAATGTGTAACGTCATATATAATAAGTGAATTTGGCCTTCAACAATTTTTAAGTTACCGTCCTATACTATTTTATTTGTATAGTTCAAAAAATAATTTTCACTCATTATCTAAATAAGAGAAAAATTTGTAGTTTATAAATAATAATTAAAGGTATGCTATGAGACTATCTTAGTGCATGCGTTTTTTTTTTCAAAAAAAAGCTTTTTGACAAACAGCTTAAAAATTTTTTTTCTATAATTTATACTGATAATTATTAAAAAAATGAACATTAAAAGGTGCATTTGTTATTTAAAAAAAGTATTTATTTAAAAAAAAATTTTGAATTTAAAATCATTTAAAAAATTTATTAATATACCCCTTTGAAAAACGAGAAGCTAATAAAAATTCAACCAATTGATAATAATAACAAAATAAATATTTGTAATAATAATCCGAATTGAACCTTTAAACACAGATGATTTTTGTGTGCGATTATTATAAACAGCTAATTAATTTTTAAAAAAGAAATGGAATATGAGTGAAAAGGCAGTGTTTTTAAAGGATAGCGGCTTATTTTTACAAAAAGGGCAAGAGGGCGCATTGGTGGCCGTCCTTCTAAAAACGCTTAGGGAGAACACCGTATTCACGGCAAACGAAATGACAAATTAAATTTTTTTATTTTTAATTATTAAAACAAGCTGCATTAGTTGTTTCAAAAATATCAGTCGTAAAATGCCTTGCTGGGGCAATAATTTTGCTCAGAACTTAATTTCAGGGCTCATCTTATTTCTCTGCCTTTGAAGAATAATAACATCCCTTGCCAGATCTACTAAAATAATTTAGTAGTTTATCCTTATTCATTTTTGAATAATTCTTGGATACCAGAATAACATGCATCACACTAACTCATATTTCTATCTTCATCCTATCAATACAATAATTATTATAACTTGATGGGTAATCTGTCGTGAAAGCTAAAAAAGTTGCTCACTTCTGTTTCGACACACATGTAAAGCAACTCAGATATTACAGCGCCACATGCATAATACATATATTTCGGATATAACAAACAAAGTATATTGGTTAATATTATATTAAAAATAAAGTTTTAATTTTACTTGATTCCTAAATTTATTTTAAAAGTATTTATTGTAAAATGAAACATGAGAAAATTTTAGTTAGAATCTCTCTAATATTCATTTCTAATGTCATCATAAAATGTTTTAAAGGGAGCAGGAGTGACAGGAACAGATGAGACAAGATGATGAAAAATAATATTTTACCTAAATTAATTTAGTTTTAATAACCTCTTCATTTTTTTAAACTCACTTTTCGGAAGAATCATAAATGATAAAATTAAAACTAAACTAGGAAAGTGAAATTAAATGTAACATTGAGTATAGTCAAAGGCATGTAATGAAAATAGCCACAATTTTAAGAGGCAACTTTAATAATATTTATACTTAGGGACAATTGCGACAAGTAAACTAAGAGAAAGCATTTTTCTGATGTATTGTGAAAATATAAAAAAAGTAAGGGAATATACTTTATATTTCTTGTAACTTTAATACATTAACATCATAAATATCCACAATGTAAATTTATTGTGCTTTATACTTAGATTGAAAATTTATTTTGAATATTTGATTTTAATGTTAACGGGAGATAAAAGTGACATTTCATTTACACATTCATGTCATGCTGTTAATCATAAAATACTTATGATATAATAAATTTACAGCTTTCAAAATGCTTTAATAATTTGCAAAAGAATAAATCGCAATAAAGGAAATAAAATGTATAAAGGCAAGAGACGCAATTACAACACTTTATGGCCCATATGTATACACAAATATTTAGATATACACAAACAAATTTATTTAATTTCCAAACATAATTAACAAGCATTATGTTTACTTTTTATAGTTAGGATACTAATTTTCTGTAAGAAAAGAAATTAACCTATGCTCGAAAATATTCTTAAAAACCAGTGAGGCATTAAAAAATTACGTAAAAGAAAAGATTACAAACTTGAACAAGAGGGCAACAAACACCAAGAACAAGAATGTTCTGCATGCAAACAGATCTTCTCAACCTATTCAGATCGAGCATGAGTTGCGGGCATCGCCCGATTGCACTGCACACTCCTGTTTGCCTGTCCGGCGTTACACATGGCCTGGCTTGAAACAACACTGTAAGGAATTGTACATTAAAAACATTAGATGTCATTATAAAATTGAACATAATGCAAGGCTTTAAAAATAATGGAGGGCTCGTAACTTTATTGGCATAAAAACTATATTTTTTTCAATTATCATTTTTCAAATAAGTAGAATTTACAGGTCTAAATATTGAATTTTTAAATCATCTTACACAAGCTTACACACATCTTTAATCATTATCCCAAATGAATGTCTGAATTCCATATTATTATATTTTCGAATTATTTCGCACATATTACTATTACGTACCTTTCACGAAATTAAATAAAAAGCAGGTTACAAATGGCCACCAAGATCTGCGAATCTTACGTCAGATAATTTCTTTTAATTAATAATAATTTCCTTTTTTCATGTATTTTTCTTTTAATTAATAATATCATCAAATGTATTCTTTACGAACCATCGATTCCGAAAACACTGCAAGAATTTAAAGAACGCAGGTTAGTGCTGCATAAATAATCATTCATTTGCTGTGTGAAACTACACATTGTATGATTTATCTTAATTGCTGATTAAATTAACTGAATCAATGAACTTATAAGTGAAAAAGAGTCAAACGTTGAATATTTGTAACTAAACAAAACGCTATATTTTTCTTTCATTCTGTTTATAATTTATTGAAACATGACTCAGATTTTAAAATTTTTTTCATGGTTGTTTTTCGGCATTTGGCTGTTAAAATGAGTGAAAAAAACAAATAATTTTCATCTGATTTAGTATTGCAACTAAATTTTAACAATATAACATCATTTTCGTGTGTTATCATATGCATAAACATTTGTGAACATTGCTTTCACAAAACTAACTAAAAAAATTGACAACATTGCTTTTTTACAAACGAATGTTATGATTATTATGAAAAAAGGATGATAAAAACAATTTAACTCCAAATTACATACTATTCTAAATGAAAGAATGAAACTAAATTTGTTTTAAATGGCAATAACAAAGATCTAGACCGGAGCTTTTCAAACTAAGGTCCGTGGAAAAATTTGGCTTCCGCTAACTTAAATTGGACCACGGCTCAATATTTAGTTTGCAAAACAATTCTTTGATCGATAAAATATGTGAACACACTCGAAGTTGTCTTTTTTATAACTACTTCCAACAGATCGAGATATAATGTTGCTAAATCATGAATGTGTGCTCCAACCATTTTAAATAACGGTAAATCTAACCACGTTTATTGTTAAGCGAATATGGATGCTTGTTAGACGTAATTTCAAACTCCATTTTGAAGTCTAACATCCAGATTGATATTTACTTATACACCATTTTTGGTTCTGTCTGGAAAAGTAAAAACTTTAACCACTCATTGAAAAAAGCAAAACTTGTTCTCCCATTAGCACCAACTTACCTTTGAGAAGCCAGGTATCCAATACATGCTGCCACTGCCACCAGCACGAAGTACAGAAGAAAGCGAGATATTGAATTCGGGCATTTTTCTCTATTTATTAAAAATTTAATCCAGCATTTCAATGTTGTGCAAGCTATAACTCTGCATATTAATTCAATTGAATTGATGTTCAAATTATTACTTTTGAATTTTGCTCTTTGCGCTACCCATTCATTTTGGTCTGTTCAATCTGATTTTTGCATCTGATTGTCTGTTCTGATCTGATTGTCTGTTCAATCTGATTGTCTGTTCAATCTGATTTTGATAATTAAAGTTGAGTACGTCAACCCAATTCCAAATAATTACTTTCATAATAATATATCCTTGAAACATTTAATTAGAAATTAACTGACTACTTTATGAAACTTGAGTTAGCTGCATACTAGAAGCATTTAAATATTTAAATGACAGAGATCAGCAATGAATATTATTCCGTAAAAGAGCTACCATTGGCTAAAAAGTTTGGGAAGACTTAATCTAAACAAGCTATATAATTAAGTTAAGACAAGTTTACAGTTAAGTTATATATTTTTAATTATTAGACCAGTTTATAATTAAGTTATATTCGTCTAAAGTTGACGTCAGGTCTGAAGAGGTAAATGTTTGAAACGATCAGAAATCCTAGCGGTTATTTGATTGAATATTACAAAATATAAATTAGATTTATTTTTTATCGTAAGCTTAGGATATTTTAGATATCTGTCCTGGTTGACTCATTTATGTTTGTAATGAAATGTTTTCAAAGCATTAATGTATTTTAGAAATCATTTATAAATATAAATTTAATAAACATAAGCTATAATTGTAAACAGAGTTTTAAATTTCTGAACTAGCACATGAAATAATAACATACACGAATGACCGAAAGTTCAGGACCATGTCTTTCAACTATGTTTATTTTGAAATTATTCTGGGGATTAAAAAACGTATTTTTGTTGGTTTTTTGTGAATTTTTTTTTATGATCCATTTTGGATTTTAGGTTAAATTTTTAATTTGTGTTTTCTTGATATTTTTGTACTGCACAAACTTTTGGTGATATAATATACTTAGACAATACAATATCTTTCAAAAAAAGGTAGAAATAAAAAGGGACCTCTTTATTAGAGAAATACGGTTGACAATTTTTAAAATTTCTATGGCCTTTTCCTCAAAGCTAAAGCAATAAAATTATACGTTTTACGGTTTAGCGTTAGTAATTTAAAACTACACGTTTTTCAATTTTTAGATTTTTTAAATATAATATTATTACAGTTTAAACTGATAAAAACCGATTTGGATGACGCTATAAAATTCTTTTCACGTTAATTGCATAAAAAAAGATACCTATAAAAACTCTAAAATCTGGCAATTGTATACTATTTTACTGCTTATCAAAAACTGTTTATTGCAGAATTTTACAGGCATAATTTTGTCTAAGAAAAAAATAAAATAAATAAAGGATCTAAAATACAGCATGACTCATATATATTATTGGATGGAGGCTTTGCATTTTACATGAATTGGAAAAAAATGCCAGAGTAAATATCCATCATCAGACCTGCGAATTGAATCTTTTCTTTTTTAATCCAATAAAAATTCATGAAGTTTAGATGCAGATTTTATTTTGTTTACTTTTAATTTGAAGGAAATTATCAAATAAAATAGGTGAAAGCACGAAAATTTGAGAACATTGAAATTTCATAAATTATATTATATTTATTTCCTCTGTAATTTCAAGTTTATTTAAGGATGACGTCTCTTTGAATAAGCAGCATTTCCTTTTTCGTAATAAAAAAAAAAAAAAATCTTTAATATTATAAAAAGGTTATACTTAAAAAAAAACCTTTTTTTTTTTAATTATAAACATTATTGAAAGAGTAAAATTCACTTTAAAATATTTGTGATTGTCTTCGTGTCATTGCGATTCATCTTATTTTTAAAAATTATTTGGTGCTGCCATCTATCCTATGCCCTGTAAAAAGAAAAAGCGTTGGTGCTGCCATCTGGAAAAAAGTTTAGAATGTGAGAATACCAGTTGTATACTAGCGAAATTCTTAATAACGCTGAAATGATATAATACGTCATTTATATCATACCTAGGTCAATTATTTTAATCTCTGCCATAATCAGGAAAACAAGTTTTTAATATAATTAAGTTTTACCATAATAACGATAATTTGAATAATTACTATCGTCGAATTTTAAATAAATCGGTCCATTTTCAATCGATTACTTTTAATTTCATAACGTTTAAAAAATAATTAATTTTTAATGGTAAAATAGTGATTTATTTTAACACCTTAATATTGAAAAATTAAAAAATTTGCACTACATTTTACTTTATCGTGCATCTCAGGTTTTTAAGGCGGTGTAACAACTCTATATACAAAAGCAGTTAGACTAAATATGATAATTTGAATTTTTCAATAGAAAACTATATGGAAATTAAAATTTTTTTAATAATATTTTATGTTATACTAATTTCCTTTTAAATAATTGCTTTTATGTTTATTAAAAATACTACCGAACTATTAGAAATTACGTAACAATGTGTACTTTTGTACTTAGATAAATTTCTAAATTTATCATGCAAATATAATAATAATAAAAGAAATCTGTTAAAATTGCATTTTGTTTATTTAAGGTTAAATGATACGATATGAGAAAATTTATAAATTTTCTCTTCACTTCTTAGCCTTAGTTTAGATTCAAAATTATTCTTATTAAAATTTAATTATTTTTTATAGATTAAATTAGTTATTCACTCATTAAAGCAGAAAAAAAGAATCATCTAATGAGTAATAATGAAACATTGCAATACCGTACCGTGCAATAAATTAAAAATTTTGGTAAATTTAACTTCTAGAAAATGATTATGTAAGTAAAATTTTGAAAACTAAATCTTTCAACTTTCACCGATTAGAGTACCAGTATATATTATAATTAGAAAACTGCAAGCAGCTTCAAAATTGAGTCAAACAGATTGGAGTCCGCTGGTACCCTCATGTTAACTGTAACGAGCTACACTTCGTATCTTTTATTTACCATGTCAACTGCATCAAAGTTGCAAAATTTTTACCAACAGGTTCCTCGCTTGTAAAATTTTCTACTGAAACTAATTTTTATCAAGAAAACTCACGTTTTTCTTATAAAAACTAACTATTAGTTTGACATAAGTAACTCGATAAAATTGTCAAGTAATAATTTTCATAATTTTTTTACTGTCAATTTTTTAATTCACAGAATAGACACTTTCAATAATTAATTCTAGAACGAAAAAAAAAAAAGAATTTCTGTCTACTTTTCTTAGATTCTACCAGAAAACAGACCATATCAATAAGTTCATATTGAGTTAGCGAGGACATTTTTGCTCGTTTATTTTCGGTAAATTTTAAATTTTAAGCAATCTTTAATATTTTACCAGTTCGTTGGTAACAATCTGGCTGTGTTCGATGTAGTCCCCTAATTAAGATAAATTATATTTTTAAAGCTAGTTTTTAAAGGAAATCTGGCAAAAACTTATGCCTAAGAAGCAAAGCACGCATACATTTTTCCTGGAACATACACATTTTGGAGGTGTATTGACAATTTATTTTAAATATATTTATTTATTTTTTTTTCAATTTGTTTATATATAATTAACCGTATCTTAAATATTATACTATTTCGGACAAATTATATTTTAAAAATAATATCTTTCGATAAAAATTGCATAATAACATTAAAAGTTATGAATAATTTAAAATAGCATATGAAAATGGAACATATGACATGAATTTATTTATAAGCCAAGCAGTGCTGACAGCAATTTTAATTACAAAATTGCTGCATTCAGACTGAAAAAAATAGTTGTAAAAGAAAGCAAATTACAAATGTTTCAAGAATATATGACAACAATTATTTCAGGAGCCCTAAGTTTTAAGAATTATTGACTTTTAACTGGATATGAATGCATTAGTATTTAGAAAAAAAAATTAACATTCTAGAATGCTCTTTTATAAATTCGGTTAATTAAGTTTCCAAGAATAAAATATGATTTTAAAAATATGTGCTAAGAAATACACAAAATACCTTGTCTCTTTACAATTGAACTTTTCATCCTTTGTTCCATTTCCTCCATTGCACTAACATTCATGCAGATGCATGACAGTAATAATAGGAGGATAACTTCCATCAGTACCTATAAAAAATATATTTTTAACAATGCAATATTTTAATGAAGAAAAAAAAAAGGAAAAAGAAACTTGGATGTTATCTCTTAAGATCGTATTAACTCATGTTTGTTTTACAATAAATAAGCAGCACAGAAAAAAAAAAGCTTTCATTTTAAATCATAACTATTATGATATAGAACATACACAAAATACAATAGAATCCTGTTAAAAGTGTTGTTATAAGTGCTTCAAAAGTTGTAAGCAGTGTTGATAAACTAAACATGAGTACTGCCGTGGAAATCTTCCATGCAGTACTTTTGTTGCAGTACTTTTGCACTCATATAAATTTAACCCTTAGCGGAACAGCAAATTACGGTTGCAAACTTCGACCGTAGATAGTGTATTTTTATTGAAGAGAAGTACACTGCTAAAAATTCAAGACCCTATTTCGGAATAAAGTTACGGTATTTAGGATTCATCATCCGTAAAATCCATTTTTACCATAAAATACAATACCGTAATTTGTAGAGTAAAATTTATTTAATTAGAGTGAGTCAGGGATTTTACGGTAATTATTCCTATTAAAATAACGTAATTTTTATAGTAAAATTTATTTAATTAGAGTGAGTCAGGGATTTTACGGTAATTATATCTATAAAAATTACGGAGCATCAGATTTTTTTGTTAAGTAAAATGTTCCAGCGAAAATGGATTTTACGTTAAAAAGTACCCGCACCCTAAATGCCAGTAGATAGTTAAAAATTTCTTGGCGCAAAATGGTGAATAGCAATTTATTTAATTGCTTTTACTATACTATAAACTTTTTACCGTATTTTATTCCAGAATTTTTTACAGTGTACTTTATCTCTTCATTGCTTTTAAAGAATAGGGGTAGCTAAAAATTAGTGAACGTATTGACGCAAATAGTTTTACATTTCCAGTGTTTTGCAACATTTTCCTATGAAGTGTTGCTAGACTAGGCAGGAGCAAGACAGAAAGCGGGCAGAATTTAAGCAGACAAATAAATATAATTGGTTATATGAATGAAAAAAAAAATGACTAATTTAATATTGGTTCAAAACAAAAGAAAAACTGCCTGTATGTTTGATAAGTCATTTTGTTATTCAAGTAATACTTTAGTTTTATAAAAAATATTCAAATTCCTAATGTCAAATCCCTAATGTTATGTAATGGAAAAATGGAAAATTTTAGGTTGAAAAGATGAATTAAACTTAATTTGATTTCTGAAAAAGTGCCTTGAAAATTTATTTAACATAAGTTCACTGAAATTTTTTTAGATAGTTAATCCATAACTTCGATTTGATATTCCTGGAATGAAATATGCTTTCAGAAATCATTTGTATCCTTGTTCTAAAATAGCTGATGAGTCATGTTAAAATATTAATTTAAATCTATAAAATGCGTCAGCATTCAACTTTACCTAAGCAATGCCCTATTTTTTGGACTAAGACATCAAACATTAAAAAATACTTAACTAAAGATATGTAAAGATAAATATATTCTTGAAAAAAAAAATGTTGTTAAATGAAATAAATAATGCAACAGGATGCAATCAGTTAAATTTTTTAAACAACAAAAAAGTGTCAGCAATTATGGGTGACAATTTGAAATATCGAATACTTTCACTCCTAGTTTGCGGATGTGCCACTTTTCCCAATAAATACTTTTTAGAAGAATACAAACGTTTCCCTATTGAGGGCAAAATCTTTTTTCGGAACTCTTTCCTTTCGCCGAAGTGAAATTATAACACTTTCTTTTAAAAACGTATTAACACATCTGAGGGCGTCATGCTTTATTTATGAAGGTGTCAAATGGAAATGGGTGGATTCGGTCCAAATAAAATATTCAAGTTGCGGTTCTTGAATATTCGAGAATAGTGAGAAAGTATTTGAAAATGATATGCAGTAGGAAAAACATAATATTGCTTTGGTTATTTTTTTTTCAATAATATTAAATTAAATATGAAACCGTTCAAAATGTTGCTAAAAAAATCTTTCCTGAGATATTTTGTTTCGTTTCAGAGTAGATCAATAATTCCGAAAATTTTGGAATGCAATAAAAACTATTAAAACATCTATCCGAAGTAAAGTATTGTTTTAATTATATTTATTTATATATTTTTAAAGGAAAGATATTGCTTAATAAATAATGAACTGAATTACCTTTTCATTTAGGAAAATTCGAAAATATTACTTTTTAACCTAATATGAATTGGTCAAAAATCTTACCAACAGAAAGGGCATGTGTTGAGGACTCATAATTTCCAGTTAATAATTTTAATTTTTATTTTATAAATTCTATTGTTAAAATAAATTTTCTAATTTCCTTTATACCTATAGGTTAAAGGATACCTATAGGTTATTTTGACTACATAAAGAGCAGAAGTTTTAATTTTTTAAAAAATGTATAAATATCTTGAATGACACACTGAGGAAAAAAATATTATCAAAACTACCAGAATGTGGTAAAATGTATAGCGTTTCTTGCTCTATGGAAACACCAAAAAACTCGGAATTTTTTATCGAAGCGCTTTTGTAAAATTAATAATAAAATATTGTTTCATAATCTTTGATAAAATTTGGAAAGCTTGGTAATATTTGGTCATTTTATCATGATTCCTTAGAGTATGACATAAAAACAATTTATTCGGTTAAATTTACTTTTCAGTTTTATATTTTTTTACTAAATATGTGGTAATAATAATTATAGTTTTTAAAACTAGAATTTTCGGCAAACCTTTACCAAATGATGGTCTAAATACCACACATATTTTGACTAAACACCGCATATATTAACCAGAATTACGCTTTTTTTTTTACCAAAAATGTCATTGGCATACATAACGGTAATTTTTTATCTCATTTTTGCTACCGTCGCTGAGCAGCCGACCCAATTTTCGGGTTCCAGAAGACAAGGGAACTCCTGGATCAAGTATTGGGAGAAATTTGCTTTCGTGGAGGACGTTTTGATGGAACTAACCCGCATTTGCGTTACATGGAGAGGTAGACCACGAGAACCGCCAACTGTTAGCCTGACGGCAAGGGGGCCCTAACCCATGATCCGTCTACTACTGAGGATATTTCACGTCAGTACTGTGGTCGATGCAAGCCGGATGCGGAATTCGTATCAACTAGCCATCGCCGGGATGGAACCCCGGTTCACCTCATTGGATGGCGAACGCTCTATCCCTTGAGCCATCGCGGCTCAATACGGTAATTTGACCAGAATTTTTTTTCCAAGCCACATGAAGCACGATATATAAAGTGCAATTATGTTCCTACTTACGGTTGGACTATCCTTACGTACGGCCATAATAAATTCATCGATAAAATAAATAAATTCGTATTATTAACTCCTGAAAATTTTCTGAAATGGAACTCATGATCTTCCCCAAATAGCTAATTAAAATAAAAGAAATGAGATATTTAGATAGTTTATTCCTGCGAACTCAAGTTTAAATATTAAAAACGTATTTTGGATCTTTAATTGTCAATATCGTTATTTTATGGATATTTAAATATTAATATAATGGCCTTGAATCTCTTTATATCATACCAATATTTTATTAGTATTTTATTTTATCGAAACCACATCGCTATTAAAAATCCTAGTAATAACTTTAGTTCCAAAATTGATAAAACGAAATATTTTTGTAAAATAAGCATAAATGGAAATGGATTTTGATTAAAATATTATTGGACTAATAATTAAAAATTTCTAAAATTATGCCTCCGTAAATTCTTGCTCTAAATACGAGTATTTAGACTCTTAAAAAAGTTCAGTTCTTCTCTAAATAAAACAAATTCTAATTAATAAAATTAATTATGTTGTAGTATTTATATCACTTTCGTCACTTCTGAATGGAGTTAGCGTGGCTTCATGTTTTTTTGAAAATGTCGGTTTCCTGTGATGATGACTTATACCTATCAATATTTCAGATTAATATTCATCGATGAGCAAATAGAGATACTTTCATTCCCTAATTCCCAACTTGGTTTCCCAAGTCAACTTTCTTTTTTTTTTCCTGGACAGATTTCCTTTTGCTCTATCACAATTTGAAGATGAACTATCGAAATAACACTTTGCGATCGAACCATAACGAATAACTACTTTTCATACAGTGTAGCATTTTATTTTATTGAATTTTATTTTATTACCGTCGTTGAACAGTCCACCCAATTTTTGAGTTTACGATTACCAATGTTCAACTCCGTGGCCTTGTAATTTTGAACCCAATTCAGAAGACGACAAAGGAACTCCTGGATCCAGTATTGGGAGAAATTTGTCTTCGTGGAGGACTTTTTGATGGAACTAACCCGTATTTGCGTTACATGGTGAGAAAACCTCCCACGGTTAATTTAATGGCAAGGGGATTCTAACCCATGATTCGTCTACCACTGAGGATATTATTGTGTCAGCACTGTGGTCGGTGCGAGTCGGGTGTGGAATTCGTATCAACCAGGCATCGCTAAGATTCGAACCCGGTTCACCACATTAAGAGGCGAGCGCTGAGCCACCACGGCTCACAGTGCAGCATTATCGTATTCAGTATTTCGATCATTAAACTGCACATACATTCATAACCAGTCAATAAATAAATAAAAAAGAAATCCAAGTTGGAAAAAATGCCTTAAACATTTCCCCCCACAAAAGAAAAAAAATGCGATTTTCAAATCTTAGCATTTATTATAGGATATAAATTACAATTTATATTTAATATTCTGACAAAAAAATTTCCTTTACATACTTACTTATTGTGACTTTTGTATCTGATTAGATTATTAGGACTTTTGTACATAACTAACAATTCTCTAACTTTTATATGTTGTGCAAGCAATAATAACTCTAAATGTGAATACATCAATCAATACTTTTATTAGTATACATTACATTATTTTTGCGATAATCTCATAGCATACGATAAGCCTAACGCCATAGCTAAAAATGTATTTAGATCTATATTAAGAACAGAAATGTTGATCCCATTACATATTACATTAATTTA